GGAGGTAAGGAACTGGGGTGAGGTCTGTAAACCCTCTGTAAAGGTGGATTCTGCTTTGGGAGAGTTCCTGAAATGCCAATGGCAGGTGGAGGCAGAAAGGAAGTCTGTGATCAAGGCCAACTGCTAACTAAAAATAACCCGGGCAGTTACAGAGTAGGGAACAGCTACAAGATGAGTAGGAGGCAGCAGCAGGGAGTACTGTTTAGGTGGAATTAACCACAAGGTTTGCAGTCAGACATGTTGAGCTGATCATCATGGAATGATTCCTGCTGCACAGGTTTTCATGTGAAGATATTTGTGCATAGGGATATTAATGTGCATTCAGGGGGCTATTGAATGTGATGTTATTTAACATTTGCAAATAGAACCGCGCATATGTGGGGATTGCACAGGGCTTACTGAAGTGCATAGTGGGATAACTGTCCATGTGTGGTTATTTATTGCGCAGGACTGGCAAAGCAGATCCAGACAAGCAGACTTTCTCCAACTGTGCAGATGTGATATCTGACAATGGAGTCTGAGAATCAGCTACAATGAGCACTTGGGAAATTGAGGTGCTGTCCCCCTGTCCTTTCTCTGCAGCTATTGCTGGCTAAATATTTGAACTAAATTGTTTCAGTGATGCACTTTTAAATAGTGTTCACCATTCTGAATGGCGAGGCGACCACCCAGAGTTCATCATCTGGTTTAAATTTACCTCATGAAAGTCAAAAGGGCCATTGCTAGAGGAGCTTAACCAACCTGCTCTGCAGTTTTCTGGCATCTACTAACTGTTATGGGTTATAGGGAATTATTCACACTGTATGACATGTATTATATGGACTTCTTAAAATGCCTTGATTACAGTATTGTGTTTTTACAGCATCATGTTTGCAGTGCTGCAAGGACTGGGTTCTTGGAGCTCTTTCTAAAAAACCCTTTTCGGTGCCTGAATTTCTAGCTGGGAATCAAATGTCTTTGCACAGAGTGAAGTATTGTTTGGAAGCAAAATAATGTAGAGGGTTTCTCCCCCAAAGACCTGTTTCTGGTTGGCTGATTTTTGTAACCCCCACCTCCCAAATATAGCATGTACTGTACTCAGGCTAGCACTGCTTGCCCCTTGAAATAGATAACATCTTTTTCAAAACGACTCAGGAAAGGGTTAAATTATAGTTTATTATCAGATGTGGTTTGAGCTGGGACAAGGAACTAGAGTTGTCAACATTGTATTTCAAAAATAAGGGTCTGTTTTCTTAGTATCCCTGCCTTACCCCATCTCCTGATATTGATTATCATTATTAAGAATAATTAATGACACACAGCACTCACCTACATTCACCAGTGCTTTTTGCAGCACTCAGCAACTCCTGATCTTCTTGCACAGAGATGAAAAATAAGGGACTGTTGGCAACCCTACTAGGAACTGAAGTTTATAGGTAGCAATAAACTATTGGGTAACTAACGATCTGCTCCGTGAGACCAAATCATTCAATACTTTATATTGGTTCCACAGTTCAAATGGGCCTTTCTTCCTTTCCTTCTCCCACCTCTCCCCACTATATAAGGTGACGCACCATACGTTTGGTACGCACATGCTACCTTGAAGCTTACCTTCCATTTTATTCTTACATGCAAGCGGGTTCTTGTGTTAGCTGTTCCCATTACAGACATGACTCCTAGGTTTATATTGTGCAAATAAAGGTTGTATTTTTTTAAATTAAACAAAACAAAGGTGCACATTCAGCTCAGGTGTCACTCCTGGTGCCGAGCCTTCTCTGCCATTTAATCACATGCCCCTTAGTGATTCAGCAAGAATTGCAATGTATTGTTTAATAAGCGTTCCCATCAGGACTGCGTTTCAGCTGTGCCCCAGCCTACCCTTCCATTTGTGGGGGCAAATCAGGTATCTGTCCTACAAACCATATTTGTGCCCACAATTGATGGCAGGTGCAGAAAAATATGGGTGCAGTTTTACAGGCACAAATTGTACTTTTTTAGAAATCGTTATGCGGTGTCTGTAACCATAGCAGTAATATTTATAAAAAAGAAGAACAGGAGTACTTGTGGCACCTTAGAGATTAACAAATTTATTAGAGCATTTGTTAGTCTCTAAGGTGCCACAAGTACTCCTGTTCTTCTTTTTGCGGATACAGACTAACACGGCTGTTACTCTGAAACCTGTCAGTAATATTTATATGTGCTATGTACATTAGCAGATTTAACATTCACTCATTTCTGCGAAGGTAATGATCCAGCTATTCTGGTCTCTCTGTAACTAAAGAAGAAGTCTATGAAGATCAAAATATGTTCTACACGTTTGGGGCATGATCCTTCAAATCTTTAGTCATGTAATACTTTACTCACGTGAATACACCTCTCATGAACAAGAACTACTTGTCAGAAAGATTTGCAGGGCTGGGTCCTTAGATTATATTTTCACCTTCTCCCAGTTGAAGGAATTGATTGTTTTACCTCTCTGCCTTCTGAATCCAGCTGCATTGCAGCTTGCCTGGGAGTCACCGTTACAGTGAGTTATTATAGTTTCATACAGTTATGGAAACTGAACGACTCAGTAAAAAGAAACCCATTTTACATGTCTGTGTTACGCCTTTTACTGAGTGTTTGCAATAGCTGCTGACTGCACTGCTCCTTTGTATGGCATCAATGCTATATTTTGTGTGAACGGAAAAGTTATTAGAAATCACATTGATGGGAAACCTGCAGTAACTGGGAGCCCTAACTTTTCAATACCTCTTTTAATCCAGAAGAACCAGACCTTGATGTGTTGTGTGTGCATGTGTATTTATAAATGATATATTTTGGTTGCTTCACCCACAAATAAAATTACAGCTTTTTCCGAGGTTGAGGAATGTACTGCCCAGGTTCAGCGGCACCAACATTACACAACAGTTAAGAATAGGGAGTGAAAAAAAATGTGGCCATTTGAAATTCACCAGGGAACTTAGGTCAGCCAGGGGGTTAATTACCCAAGGCAGAATGTAGCCAGTTACTTAAGTCATATATCACCTGCCCGGTGCTGAGGGGCTCATGAAATCTACCATAATACATTATTAACCTGTTTCCCTGAGCAGTGGAGGGAGGAACTGATCTAGTGAATTAGGCCAGATTCTCCTCTGTCCTGCACCTCAGGCAGTCATTTATAGCAGTTCAAAGTGTGTATAAAACGCAGCTAAATTGGAATGGTAATGGACCGGTTCACACCCCCTTTGCACTGGTGTAAATAACTGCATAAGGTGCAGGGCAATGGAGAATCTGGCCGAATCTGTTTTACTGGTCAATGCCTAATTTCTCCATAGCCAGAGGTCACAATATTGTATGTGAATTGACCTGTGCTGTGTTATGCAGAAGGTCAGGCCAGATGTTTGTAATGGTCAATTCTGTCCTTAAAATCTATGACTCTATGACCGCCAAAACACTCTCTAATTCGCAAACATTGCCCATGGGGATCCCCAAACCGTCAAGTCAATGCAATTTGTATATTTGGACAGGCACACTCACTCATTCTCCTCTGGGACCTTCACAGTTAAAGGGTTTTCCAAACACATGCCAGTGATGGAATAGGGAAGAAAAACAAAACCACTCCCACGCTGTTTAAGCTGAATGCAGATAAAGGCTGAACAGGTGTGAATAATTTTTCAATTATATAAAATTCGAATATGATGGACATTTTTTCTGATTGAAATTTCCACTAGCACACACCTTTGCTTGCCACCCTATTCTGTACATGCATGAACATGAAAAACTCAAGACAAATCAAATGGATATGATTATGACCTGTCAAGAAAATTCCATACAATTAACCACATCACTACATAAAGTAGTGAAACTCTATAGCTATTAAAGTCCAGTTCATGTACCGGGCAACAAAGTACTCTCAGAACCTTACACTTTAACTTGTGCCAACAAGTTTATTCCTGTTTAGATTTGTAGGAATCATGTGTACTTCAAAGTGCTCTGGGAACTGAGTCCCCTCTTGTTTATCCTCATGTAGCTTCATTAACTTCAGTGGAGTCACTCCTGATTTACCTCAGCATGAATAAGAAGGAAGTCAGACTCAAATCTGGACCAGATCCTGTGATAGTCTAAATTCATTCCATGTAGCTATGCTGTTGTAAATCAGGAGTAACTCTTTAAACCAATGGAGTTAAAGCCATTTACAGTAGGGGGCCGGGGGTCTGTTGATATGGACCTGAATGCTGCACATTTAAACAGGCACAAAAAACTCAGCGCATTAGAGTTGTGGTATTTATACCAGCTGAGGCTTGGTGTCTATTTACAAATACAGAGAATTTAAATGTGCCTCACACTACTGGATGGTTAATTGTATGCAATATATTTTATCTTTGAAATTACAACTACAATTGAAATCCAAAGAAATCTTATTAATATTTGTACATTTCCCACAGAAATAAATCAATGCTCTGAAGACAAGGAATAATTCTAAATCTGAACTATCAACGGGCTAATAATACATAACAGTAGGTGCACCACATGTGTGTGCATGTGGGTCCAAGCAGAGATGTGTATTGGTGTCTCTATGTTTAGACTTGCACTGCACGTGCTCTGTGTGTGTGTGTGTGTGTGTGTGTGTGTGTGTATTCTATGAGTGTTAGCTCCAAAGCCTGGCGTGTGGCAGAGTTAGACGCTGCACTCTGTAGCATTTTGTACGAGACGAGGGGAAACAAACCCCAGTTTGTTTAGGCAGCAGAGGTGAGAGTGTTTTTAATGAGTGCTCGATGGGCACCCAGTGCAGTTCCCTCTTCTCTCCAGCCTCTGACGCTCACTTTTCCGCTCCCAGCCTTTCGCTGTCACGTTCATGTGGACTCTGGCTTCACCCGCAGCTCTGCGAGCTGGCAGGTGCGTGGGTGGATCTGGGCATCTATTTCGCATCACGCTCTGTCTCTGTCAGACAGCGCCCGGCCACGCTGGAAAGCCGCTGATGAGACCCTGCTCCAGGAGCCCGATGCCCGTGTGGGTGTGACCTGCCCGGTTGGCCCCCTGCCCTGCGCCGGCCCCTGGGGGTGGGTGGGGCGCCGCCTGCCCCCTCTCCCCGCAGCAGCCCCGCTCGCTGCAGTGTCAAAGGGGGAGGGGTCGGCTCCTTCCCCCGGGCCCCGCGCCCGCGATGCCGGGTTAAATGGGGCTGCCGCTGCCTCAGCCCCTCTCAGAACAGGACAGGCCAGCGGCTGGAGCGGGGTCCCCGGGCGCAGCACCCACCTGTACCAGCAGCACGGGGGTGTCCTCCGCCCGCCTTCCGCTCGGCTCCGCAGCCGCCCCTCCGCGCTCTCCAGCCGGCCGAGGTGAGTGAGGGGCTCCGGGGGCAGCAGGGCACCTGCAGGGCAATGCGCAGCGGTGGGCGCACGGGCGCGAGGCTGCCCCTCGCCGGACCCGCGAACCCCATCCCCGCGGGGCGATGGGTCACTCCCGTGTCGTGCGCTCTGTGCCCCAGCGGAGAGTGGGGGGCGATCCCCGGTCCCCCCGGGGCTCCCCATCCCAGTGCCCTCCGCCAGCCAGAGGGGAGCGAACCCCCCTGGGGGCTCCCTACCCCAGTGCCCCCCGCCAGCCAGAGGGGAGCGAACCCCCCTGGGGGCTACACACCCCAGTGCCCTCTGCCAGCCAGAGGGGAGCGAACCCCTGGGGGTTCCCCATCCCAGTGCCCCCCACCAGACAGGGGAATGATGCCCAACCCCCTGCGTCTCTCCAATGCTGTGTCCCCTGAATGATACTGAACCCCCTAGGAACTCCCCATCCCAATGCCCCTTGCCAGCCAGAGGGGAGCAATCCTACTAGGGGCTCCCTGTGCCCAAAAGTCCCCACGCCTTTGGCCCCTTCCAGTGCAAAACCCTTCTTGCCCGCTAGGAGCTGCACACTCCAAGTGGCTCTGCCTCCTTCTCCAGCCAGAAGGAAACAACTAGACTGTAAGTTCTTTGGGGCAGCAACTGTATTTTTGTTCTGTGTTTGTACAGCACCTAGCACAAAAGGGGTCCTGTTCCATGTCTGGGACTTGTAAGCACTACCACAAGGGTTCCCCATCCAGCATGTTCCCTACTACCCCACTTCCCAGCTAACTGCTTGTCAGGGTACATGAGCTGTCCATGTCTTTGTCTTGTCGGTAGGTGTTGGATGTAATGGACTGGGCTAAGAAACAGGCCGGACACAGAGAGGATGGTGTGATGATGAGTTGTTTGTATAGCACCAGCAGCATAGTGGGCACTCGTGCATGGTGTCAGGGGAATGGTATGGGGGAGGTGATAGAGATGTATGTCTTAGGAAGAAAATTCCCTTTTAGCTCAGCCCTCTCCACTCCCCCATGTGCCTGCAAAATGTAGGAGCTGCTGTCTGCTTGATCAGAGACCCCAGCCGTTGCAACCTCTCTGCTCAGTCTGACACCCAGGAAAGCTGGGAAGTTTATAAAGTTAGTCCAAATAATTCTCAGGGGAGCTGAGCCCCAGAATGGTGCTTGGCGGAGCAGAAGCTCTCAGGAGCCAAGACATGGAATGGTGCTCGCAGACAGCTGAGACTGGGCATGGTGCTTAGACGCAGTGGGAGCTCACAGGGGCTGAGACCTGGCATGCCACTTGGAGCGTGCAGGAGCCCACGGGAGCCAAGCTCAAGGAGAGGCTCATAGGAAGCTGGTGCTCCCAGGTGTTCAGAGGTAGAAAGAGCTCATGGGATCTGAGATCTAACACCATGGTCAAAGGGAGCTGGAGCTCCCAAGGGCCAGGTCTGGAGGCATCACTGAGAAGAGGTGAGAGGTGAGTCTCCCAGAAGCCAAGTCCTGGGCCCCAGAGCTCAGAAGGATCGGAGTCCTAGCATCTCTCCTGCATTAAAAACTGCCTGAGTGAGAAGAAAGAAAGGATGCAAAGATCCGAAGAATGAAGTACCTGGTCAGTGGGAATACTGTGTGAAGGAAAACCAGAGAGAAGGAAGGAAGGGACATGCCCTGCACAGCTTTTGCCTGTTTCCCCTGAGACCCTGGCATGCCAAGAATCAACTTTCTTCTCTGCCTGCCCACCCTATGCTCTCCACCCAGGTTCAGATCTAAACTGCAGCAATCCAGGCCCCCCCACTCTTTCCTTCCTATGTGGAGTGCTCTGCGCTGGGGATGTGGTACTGGGAATAACTGAGCATGCTCAAAAATCTGTATGTTGCAATTTAGGAATAATGTGGGGGACCCACTCTGTCTCTGGAATACTTTTCAGCTCTCTTTATATTCACATTGGAGATTATGCTCCAGTAAGCTGTTCCCAATTGTGTGGGTGACTGATTTTACACTGCATGTTCACCATCTGCCTGTATTAGGAAAGTTCCTGCAGATACTATCCAGAATCTGATTTGACAATGAGGTATACAAACTCATATACATGCCGTGATGTAGCATACCAAGCATTAGAATGTCTGGATTGTCTAACAAGATATGCACATAATTGTGCTCTTAATTTGTTTGCACTGTTACTGCACTCATACATGCAAACTGGATAATTGCAAAGGCAGATGGTAATTATATATATTTGCATAAGCATGCAATCATGATAATTACGCAGGAGAATTAGGTATTCAGTTATGTGTACATTTCACAAGAGCAATTATGCAGCTAATTCGTTTGAAAAATTAGACTGTTATACATTCGTAGTATCTGTGTTAATATGCAATAATCTGAACTAAACCAAATTAAGCAGATGTAGAACATGAAGTTATTTGCTTTTTCCCATTGTGCAGCATGGAGCAAGGGCAGCATTTGTGATGGTGCAGAAATCATTGGGGATTCATTAGGAGGCTAACGTGCAAAGGAACACTGTAATTTGAAAGGAGCCTACCACATATATAAAGTGACATGGGGGACGAGCTCCTGAGACTAATACAGGTTTACTTGGGCCACAGCTGCCAGGAAATGTATCAGTTTAATATTGAGAATGCAGGGCCTATTCACGCAGTAAGAAAGCCAGTGGGACTTCTGCCTCATTTGAGCCCCAGTTGTATGTGGACTAAAGTTGTTACACTAAAGTTCCCTGCATAGGGGGACCAGACAGCAAATGTGAAAAATCGGAACAGGGGATGGGGGGGGTAATAGGAACCTATATAAGAAAAAGACCCCCAAATCAGGACTGTCCCTATAAAATCGGGACATCTGTTCACCCTATTCCTGCAGAAGCTTCTCCTTACCTTATAGAGGAGCCTTTGATAATGAACAGATTTTGTAATAATAATAAGAATTAATAATAGGCACTGAACATGTAGTTCAGAACTACCGTTAGAAACTGAGTTTCAGAAGCGGGTCCAAATGGTCCATTCTGGGATGTCATTAGATTTGCCTTTGATCTGTGCAAAAACCCAGAGCAAAATCCTGCTCTCAGATCTACCTGGTAACTCTCAATGCTGATATTCTTCTCTCAGAGCATGGCTCAGTGAAGTGAATGGATCTTCCGCATCCGGAAGGCATGCAGAAGATTTTGGTAATTTAGGTAAAACGACACTTTGTGTCTAAGCAGACAGGCCATTACTGCATTCCGCTGGAAATGTTATTCAAACACTTCCATAAACTCCACGAAAAGGAAGAATTAAAAAACACGTAATGAGATTAGACAGGCTGGAGCTTGGGAGTTGCCTTTAAAGATGCTTTTGTTGGCGCTAACTAGTCTGCACTTGCAGGCAGTTTGTGGTCCTAGACGGGCCTAGTGCTGTGATTGCTCCTAATACAGTATTTCCCTGGAGGTTTCCAGCAGGAGTTGGAGGTTTTCAAGGGAAATCTTTGCTTAAATGGTTTAAAAGTTTCCAAGAGGGACCCCTTTGTTAGATTTCTGAACAATGCCTCTCCCTTGTTAAAACCCGGAAAAAGCATAAAATGAAATTTACAAATGTTTGAATGAACAGGGCTGAAACATATGAAGGATGAGGTGCAATGTCGTGCATGTGTGAGTGAATGATGGCCAGATGCTAGTCTGAGTAATGAAGAGGGAAAAAATGTTTGTGAAAATAATTCAGTTGTGTTTTCAGAGAAACTTGTTGGAAATCTGCTGTTTCCAGAGAAACTGACTAACCTCTTTATACCGAAAGTCAAACACAAGCATCACCTGGGAGTGGTACAGGGCTGAGCTGCCCATTTGACTTGTTGACAGTAAAATAATTATCTAATGTAATAACTTTATCTCCACCTCTGGCCATATGGTAGCAGCTGGAACATCTGGGTTCAATCCACTTAATGTGAATTCGCCCAGATTTTAATCAGAGCTGGCATAAGGATTTCATTCAGAGGTCAGTCACTGAAATCCAGCATTCACACTTCTTTGTTACCTGCTGCTGGCGCTGGAAGAATTGGCCCTCTGTAGATATTTGCAACACAGACATAGCTTTCAGTGTCATGTAACATTTTTAGCGGTTAGAAGGGTTCTTTTCCCTTTCCAGTCTTGGCAAGATAAGGTTCTAAAAATAGCCTGGTTAAAACAGGGAATGGTATAGAAATGTGCATAAAATATGCTACACAGGCTACATGTTCGGGGTTTTTTTTGGTCAGGATAAAATTCTAGAGCATCTTGTTTCAGTTTTAACTTTAATAAGCTCACAGTAAAATGACAAAATATTGTATTCCATCTCTAAATGCAATATTGTAGGAGCAGGCAAAAATAATGCTCCTGTTCTTGGGTTTGTATTTCCCTGGGGTCTGGTGAGCCTCTTCTGTCAAGCAGAGGTGTGTGTGTGTGTGTGTGTGTGATGGGAGAAAATTGCTAAAATGCCCCTATAAGTAGATACTTATATGGACCACTCTTTCCACAATAAATTTAAGCATCTTATTATCTTGAATGCTTTTATCCTCGTAACACCTCTTGCAAGATGGAGAAGTGCTATTACTCCAATTTACAGATGGTAAACTGAGGCATAGAGATGCTAAGTGACTTGCCCAAGCTTACATGGGAAGTCTGTGACAGAGCAGGGAATTGAATGCTGGTCTTCCAAGACTCAGGCTACTACTGGACTATCACTGGACTACCATAGGACTATCTTTCCCGTCTTCAGTGGTAGGATTTTGGTGTGCTTGATGAGCTGTCTAAATCCATTAGTGGAGTATGTTGGGCTTTCTTCCCCACGCAGAATAAATTTGTAGAATCTATCTATCATATCGTAAGGCACCTTATATCTTAATGTCTAAGCTTCTTTCTCTTTTTTTGATGCAGCAGAAAAGTTTGCATGCAGCTCTGATGAGAACTTTGTGAACACAAGCCGAGTTAGCACAAAGTACAGCTGGTTCACACATGCAGATCAGAGTCAAACCAGGGCTGATTTCAAATTCGTCTGAGGTTCAAGT